TTTGCTCTCTTCCATAAAACTCACTTTCTGTGTTGTTGTGATCAAAACAGGCTGGTCCAGCTTCTGCCTTCAGGCCTGCCCCTCCCCGGTGTGGTGGGCGCATGACCCCAGAGAGCAAGGTTTTGTGATCCTCCGTGGATCGTGCTGGTTAGTTGACCACAAAAGTGTGGCCCAGCGTGGCCCTCTCTGAGCTGCAGAGACTTGGCTGTGGTCGCAGTGTGACGGATGGAGTTGTGTCCCCGCAGAGTTGAAGTCCTGACCCCCAGCTTCTCAGAATGTGACTGTGTTTGGAGAGCGGTGCCTCTAAAGGGGTGATTATAAGGTACAATGCAGTCACTAGAGTGGGCCCTGATACCCTAGGACTGGTGTCCTTACAAGCAAAAGAGATCAGGACACAGACACACACGGGGGACAACCACTGAGGACACGGGGAGAAGACGGCCGTCCACACACCGAGAAGTGAGGGAGAGACGCTCTGATGTGAGTCTCAGGGATGGTTACATATGTATCTTAAGCCCTCAGCTCAGCCCAGAGACACTGGGCAGTTTCAGAGGGACCTGGATGTTTCCACATTTGGGGTGTCACAGCAGGAGATCCGTGAGTGACGGTTACCAACTCCCACCTGTCAGGAGAAAGGGAGGAGAAACACACAGGGGTCCCACCTCCCAGGAGACAGAAAATGCAGAATGGAGAGGCTGTGACCCACTGGCTGGACAGGAGGGGCAGGGATCGGCAGGATCAGCTTGGACGGCAGTCTGTGGGCAGTCAGACCGTTCCCTGGGTTCAACCTGGGTATCTCAGTGGTCAGCTCGGCCTGGGGAGGCCAGAGAGAGGGCGAGTCCTGGACCCTGCTGGGAAGTGTGTGTGATTTCAGCTGGCAGACAAGGAGAGGAGGGGACGGTCAGCTGGAGGCACTGGGGCAAAGGGACACACATGGCCTGGTATTCCAGAGGATTGCGTGAGAGTGGTCAGGCACTGCTGGAGTATGTGTGTGTGTGCTTGTGTGTATATGTGTGCGTGTACATGCGTGTATGAACATGTATGTGTGTGTGTGTGCAGGTGCACACGTGTACAGGGTGGGGGCAAGGGCAGAGGCGAGAACTGTCAGACAGGACACGTGTAGTAATTGGCTTGGGCGGGGACATGGATGGCTGCTTGCGGAAGTTGCGTGGCTCCGAGAGGCACACAGGTGAGCTGAGGACACGGGACTCTGGAGCAACCTGCTGAGAAAGGACAGGGGCTGTTGGGTGGCGGTGGTGGGACAGGCCAGAGCTCACACGCTCCGGGCAGTAGAATAATCCAGATTGATCCAGAAGGCGTGGGACGAGGCAGCCCAGGGCACCTCCCGGGCTTCTGGAGTGGACGGAGGTCTTGCCGCTGAGCCTGGGGAGGCGGCTCGTAGCGGTCGGGAAGGTTTGCCGTTTTTTCTCAAGTGTTATGTTTTACTTCCTGCAGCTCCCGACGGGGGGCCAGGGCGGTGGAGAACCACTGGGGTGGGTTGCGTTGTTGGGCTGGGTGTCAGCGGCGCACAGGCGGCCCTGGGGTCACTCGTCTGTTAGCTGGCACCCAGTTCCCCACGCTTCCCTAGTCTGGGAGCTGGGGCTCGCGGTCAACCCCTTTCTTTGGACCTTTGGACCTTTGAACCCAGAGCCCTGCAGCTTTTCCACCACTGGCGGCTGAGGGGTTGGTTCCAAGTTCTTTGTTCAACTTGTGAATCCATACAGGGTGGAAATCTTTGTCTGAGGGGCTTTCTTGTTCTCCAGGGGTCTCTTTTGTGCATCCTCCCCGAAGCCCAGCCACTACCGGGAAGGATGCTGCATGCACAGCCCTCCCCTGCTTCTTCCCAGAGACGCAGCCACAGCTGATCTCCCCAGCCTCCCGTGCCTTCAGTGTGGTCACTTCTCCTGTTTTTAAAAGTACCTCAGAGATTAGCCTTTACTTCTTTGAAAAAATTACATAGAATCTCCCAAATTGTGTCCTTTGCTACGGGGGTTCAACTGTTTCTCCCCTGTAACTGTCAACGTTCAACACTGGGGCAGGTTGGCTGGTGACTGGGAAGTCTGAACAAAGGCAGTGTCTCCTGGTCCACGAGGAATCTGCATATAAGTATCCTCTTCTGTTTCCTCACTGTTCAGTGTTTTGTAATTTGTCTGCACTGAGGGTGGCGCTTGGTGTCCGGAGAGAAATCGTGTGTCAGTTAAGCTGCAGGGACGCAGGAGCCGGGCAGACTCGACTCAGGTTCAGACTGAACCTCCACCACTTTCTAGGTGTGGGGCCTTGGGATAGTTACATGGGTCTCTGGGGCTCAGCTTCCTCATCTGGAAAATGGGAATAGTAATGACAGTTATTGCCCTGTTTTAATATGTAACTATGTTTCAACTGTAGTCATTGTGCAGCAGTAACAGTGATGTCAGTAGTAGTGATGATAATCAGCATACTCTCGAATCGTGGGTATGGCGAAGGTAAATGCAGTCAGCACGATTTTTGGCGTATCAGGAGCCAATAAACGTCAGCCATGTTTGTGTTATCGTCATGATCATCGTCATCACTGTTAAGTTCACCATCACCATCATCAAACCAACATCATCACTGTAACCATCACCACCATCACCATCATCACCACCATCATCACCGTCATCACATCAGCACCACATCATCACCACATCATCACCACCTTCACCACCATCACCACCATCACCATCATCATCACCATCCACACCAACATCGCCATCACCATCATCATCACCACCATCACCGTTATCATCACCATCATCATCACCACCACCATCACCGTCATCACCACATCAGCACCACCTTCACCACCATCACCACATCAGCACCAGCATCATCACCACATCAGCACCAGCATCACCACCATCACCACCAACATCACCATCATCACCGTCATCACCACACCCCACTAGGCTCTGAGCCCTTTGAGGGGCAAGAACCCCTATCTTTTGCAGAGGGACACAGTTCAGTCCACACCAACATGTATTGTCTGTCATCTGTCTGACCCTTGAAACAGCCCTGCGAGTTTTTTAGTTGCTATGGTTTTCATCACAGAAACACGGGGACTGCTGGGTTGCTAAGTTTGCCCAAGGCTCGTGTATGCAGCTGGGTTGCAAGCCCAAGCCTTTCTGAACTTCGAGCTCCTGCTCCTTCTAGAAGTTTCTCACTGGGGCCCTCTTGGTGTTTTGGGGGGAGCAGGACGTTTCTTCGTTGTGCAGAGCTGGCCCATGCAGCGTACACACCCAGCGTCCCCAGCCCTGCCTGCTAAGTGGCAGTGGACACCAGTCTCTGGGATCATCTTACAAATGTCACCAGGCCCCCGGGAGGTGACTCCCAGACTCTGCTCTGCTCGGCACGCACCTGCTGGCGGGATCCTTTCTGCCGGCTGCAGGGAGGGAGCCTCAGGCCCTCTTTGGATGCTGGTGTCTAAGGGAGCTTGAGTTTGGGTGTTCACATAGTGGGAACCAGAGGCCAACCACAATTCCTGAAGCAGGAATTGGCAAGATATCCACGGTCCCACTTGGTCACATCTGATGGAGCTCATTTGTTGTGCTGGAGTTGGCACACATTCTTCTCACTCAGCCAGGGATGGGCGGGGGGTGGGGTGCGGCTGGCAGTCACTGAAGTGGACACCCAGCCCCCACCCAGCCTCGCAGCCCGTGAGGAGCTCTGAGCCTTATTCCTGAATTCAGCCTTTGACCCTGGAGAGGGACAGACGGCGCATTCATGCCCGTGGATGGTCAGGTTTCCCAGCAGTGACTTCGGGCTGCCGGCTGGACCAGCCTCATTGTTGACAGTAGCAGGATCATGTTACCCAGCAAGGAGGAGTCACCCGACACAGAGCATCAGGGAGACACTGGGACCGTTGCAGCCTCAGGCGCGCAGAATCTCCCCAAGGACAGTCGGTCCCAGCCTCATACCCAGTCAAAGCTCCCTGGTTCTGGATGCTTTCATGGTGATTAAGCACACATTTGAGCCCTGCTGATGGCCACACAGTGGAATATAATTTTAATTCAATCAAAATTAGAAGTCATGGTTATACAGAAGAAATTAGTTTGCTAGAAATCGACACATTGTAACTGACCATATGTCAATGAAAAATTTAAAAGAAAACCAAAGAAGCCATGGCTGGAAGCTCGGGCTTGGCCTCGGGTTTGTCTTCCTGGCCTGCTGGCGGGTCTCACAGGAGGGACCTGGGAGCGTGACCAGCTGTGTCCTCGGGTTCTCAGCGGTGCCGTTACGCTTTTGAAAAGTGTTCGTGACTGGTTTGCAGGCACCGTCTGTTCTATTCAGCTTTTCCAGAGATTAGCTTTTGTGGCAACTGGTCTGATCTTTAAATCAAACTGTTTTTCATAATGGCCTTCCTTTATGGTTTGGCAGGGGTGACGCTGGTGTTTTCACAGCCGTTATGCTCAGAGCTGAGGGGTGCATAGACACTCTGCCCTGGGCTTTCGCATCAGTGAGGTTGCAGGAGGACCTCAGGTACCTGCCATGTCAAGAGAGAGCGATCGGTGTAAACATTGAGCCCCGCTGTAGTCTGCTCGATCCATGGTCATCATTGCATCCCCCAGACCGGCTGCAACAGCGTCTCCTTCAGATTGGTGGGAAGCGCAGCTTCCGGGCCTGAGCCACCTGCTGCTTCAGATGCTGCGCTGGGTCGGGGGGTCAACAGCTTGTGTTTTAACAGGGACGGGAGTTTGAGGAGCTCCGTGCAGGTGGGAACTGCCCAGGGCGGCAGGTGGTTAGTGATGACCAGAAACACAGTAGGTCCGGGAGGTCAAAGTCAACAGTGAGAGCTGAGGCCTCAGAAACAGAGACTCAGTCTGAGCTTTTCCTCTCTTCTATTTCCCAACGAGGTAGGAAGGTCTGACCTTTCATCCTGAAAAGCCGGGGGGTCCAGAGACGGGATGGACGCACTTTGGCATGTGCGGCCACGTGTCCCGGGGGCCTGTGGCATCACTAATCCGGGGTCTTTGCCTTCCCTACAGAAATGCATTCGATTCAACCCCGATGCCACGGTGTGGGTCGCAAAGCAGCGGATTCTGTGTTCCCTGAACCAGAGCCTGAAGGACGTCCTGAACTACGGGCTGTTCCAGCCGGCGAGCGGGGGGCGGGACGGCAAGTTCCTGGACGAGGAGCGGCTCCTGCGGGAGTACCCGCAGCCCACGGGCAAGGGCGTGCCCTCCCTGGAGGTACTGGTGACCGCCTCTCAGCCTGGGTGTGGCGGTGGCTGGAGGGCCTTCAGTCAGCTTCACATTTAATTTGGATTGGGAAACGACTCTGGAATTTTAAAAATGATTTTGTTGGGGAGGATAGAGCTCAGAGGTAGAGCATGTGCTTAGCATGCATGAGGTCTTGGGTTCAGTCTGCAGCACCACTGTTAAAAAATAATAAACCTGGCTACCTCCCCCTCTGAAAACAGTTTAAAAAGCCAAAAAAAAAAAGATGAGGAAGAAGAAAATGAGTTTTTGTATTGAAAAAGAGTGTAAAGAGGAATATATATACCTGTATACCGAATGGCTGTGCTGTGCACCAGAAACTCACACAGCATCAAGATTCGACTCTGCTTCCATTCAAGAAAAAGTTGGTTTGCAGTCTTGAGGTTGCCGCTTATTGTGTTGCCATTTGTGGGCTGCTGGGCGGTTTTTTATCCACTTGTGCTTTTGCTGAGGATTTGACAAACGTGTCAGAGAGAAACCCTGGTGTGAGCAGACCCTGCTGTGGGTCTGACTCAAGCTCGTGTCTCCAGGACCCGCTGGATGCAGATGGGGCTGGCTCCTGCCTCCCCGAGCCGGTCTCCTGTCCTCGGCACGGTGGCCCGTGGCCAGCCAGCTCTTCTGAGGAGTGCGACTCCCGGGAGTGACCAGTGGGCTCCTTGAGCTGCTGTGACCAGTCACGTGCCCCTGGCACTGCCAGGGAAGGGGTGGGCACGTGCACCGGGCTGCCTGCCGTCCACAGGTGTGCCCCCCGTCCCTGCCCTTCGGGGCCCGGGCTGGCTGTACCCCAGTTACCTATGGTATTTCCACATTATGTAATTTGTGTTGGTTTTTTTTTAATTGAGGTGTAGTCGGTTGGCAATGCTGTGTTAGCCTCTGATGCATGACACAGCCATTCAGCTGAAGGTGCGTTCACACATCCCCTCCACACTTTCTCCACCGCAGGCCGTCACGAGGAGCCGGATGCAGTTCCCCGTGCTCTGCAGTAGGGCTTTGCTGGTTTCTGTTTTACATACAGCAATGTGCATCTGCAAATCCCGACCTCCCGCTCCATCCCTCCACCCTCCTTTCCCTCCCTGGTAACCACAAGTTTGTTTTCCGTGTCTGGGAGTCTGTTTCTGTTTTGTAAATAAGTCCACTTGTATCATTTTTCTAGATTCCACGTGTAAGTGATGTCATAGGGTGTCTGCTTTCTCTGTCTGGCTTACCTCACTTAGAATGACGATCTCCAGGTCTATCTGTGTTGCTGCAAATGGCATTATTTCCTTCTTTTTATGGCTGAGTAGTATTCCATTGTATATATAGACCACACCTTCTTTATCCAGTCATCCCACATGAAGTGTTAAGACAGCTATACAGGTAGGCAGAAACGCGGTCATTTCTCCTGTTGTACCGCACATCCCTGTTAAGTGATCGTATTTGTTTGGGCTTAGTCAGCAGTGAGAGCCTGGGAGGGTGGCGTCCTGACTGGCATCTGAGCCATGGAAGAGGGGGGCGCTCTGCAGTCAGAGACGTCATGGACTGAGGCAGGACCTCGTCTGCACCTCATCTGCACATTCTTGGGTCTGACAGTGACTTTGAGGCTGAGGCTTGGGACTCCTCTCCACACCCCCTCCCTGGTTATGTGGAACTAGCATTGGACCAGGGAGAAGGGTTTCTGTTGGGAGGAAAAGGTGGGATGCCACTTGGAAGTCCTGTGATTCAGGGAAGTGGTGTGGTTCTGTTCTGACCTCAGTTTGCTCATCTGGGAAATGGGGATCCATTGAAAACTCCCTTGCTGGGGGCCTGCTAGGTACCGGCCACTTTCTCAGCATGGCCCACGTGTTAGGGTTCTGGTCTGATGGAGATTACACGCCTGTGGGAGGTGACCGGCCAGGAAGAGTAAATAAAGAGCTCTTTGGGGGCTGATAATTCCTACAAAGACAGTAAAACAGAGCCAGGAGACCAGGAAGTCCAGGGCCTACTTTTGACTGGAAAGCATCTTAAAGGAGGTGACACTGCCCATCTACCACCCTCAAGAACTTCACAGGAGGAGGCCAGGGGAAGCCCAGTGTAACCTGGGCAGGGTCATTCCCTGGCCTTCAGAGTGGCCAGCCGATGTCCCACCCCAGGGCTCATGGGAGCCGAGGCTGAGAGGTGAGCACGTGAGCTGTCCTCGCCCCACATGGACACGTGGGCTGTGACGTCAGACGGACTTGGTCCCGCCCTGGTCGCTGTGGGACCCTGAGCACACCACCCAGCCTCTCTGAGCCTCAGATTCCCCACTTTGAAATCGGGGAAACATTAATGCCAGCTTCTCATGTGGCTGTGAGGCTGGAACGAGCAGTGCACACAGCGTGCGACCCGGCAGTGGGCGAGTTGGGCTTGCAGCTGCTCCGGCCGTTACCTCTCGTTGCCATGGAAGAGTCGTGGACGCGTACGTTCACTCATCTCCTTGGGCCGCTGTCCTGTGGGTGACCCACTGAGGCGGGCCTGGAGATGGACCCACCAGGCGCAGCCCGGGTCTGAGCTCTCTGCCTTGGGCAACGTCAGTGAAACGTGGTTGACCACGTCTGAAACATGAAGAAAACGCCAAGACGAGCTGCTGTGTTTCACAGCCTGCATCCTTCTGTGGCCACAAGCTGGAAATGTTTGTGACTCTGGAAACAGACATTCTCCTCCGAGAACTTACCCCCACCCCGCCAAGAGATGTTATCGACCCTGGCGTATTTTTTCCTAACTGGAAAAAACACCCGTTGACTCGAATTCCTGCAGATCCGTCAAGTTAGGGAACCCTGTTACATCTCTGCAGTCACTTTCAGCGGCTTCTGAAACCTCAGAGCGGTGCTGGATGAAGGAAGACGGAGGAGTTGTTTCACGGCCAACCCGGAACGTGGGACGTGACAGAGACTGCCGTCCTGGTCGAGCCTAGAATCAGAGCGGGAGGACCCTCGAACCGGCAGCGTCTCCTCCCGCCGGGCGGTTCAGGGAGGTGGACGCCCGCCGTTCACGACACAGCCGTGCGTGTGACCCAGGAATTTGTGCAGCCTGTGTTTCACGGCACTTTCTGATTTCACAGTTGATTTTGGCACTTTAAAAAAAAAAGAAATCAAGTTTTCATCTGTGCTGCAAAGGAATTTGGTCTGTTGTCGCGTTGCTGTTTTGCTTGGCGTGGAGGGAAGGGACGATAAGGTGGTCACTCCGGGAGCTTCATGGGGGATCAAGCTTTCACCCCCTGTCCTGCGCCTTCGTTTCACACCTGTGTCTGTTTAAACTCCTCGGAGTGGGACGGGCTCGAGGGAGGTGGGGGCGGGAGGGTTCGGGCAGCGCTGGCCCGGCACCGACTCCGTGCCAGGAAGTTCAGCCCCCGGGCCACCCTAGGGGTTTGGGGTTGTGGTCCCCAAGCGACAGACAGGGAAACTGAGTCTGGGACGGGGCAGGTGTCTGGCCCAAGTCACACGGCTGCCAGGACGGTGGTGAGGCTGGAATTGGAGCCATGTCTCAGCTCAGAATCCTAGTGACAGCCTGCGGTCGGCATCCTTCCCAAACCCGCTGTAGCGCGTTCTGCTGCAGAAGCGGCCAGGGTCCCCAGGAGAAGAGGGCGCGCCGGGGAAAGGCGCTGCGGGTTAGGAGGCAGCCCTTGGCCCCAGCACTCCCTCCTGGGCACCATCGCTGCCCCTGAGCCAGGCACACCCCTCTGACCCCAGACGTCTCGTCTGGTCGAGAGGCGCTACCACCGTGTGAGAGGAGGAGCTGAGCCCTGACGTCCTGGTGGAGGCCGCGGGCTGGGGGAGGTGGCGTCGTTGGGCCAGGGCTTCTAATGCGTGTCCCACAGAGGTCTGCAATGGGGACACAGCCAGCGTGGGAAGCGGGTCCTGATGTGTTGTGGGGGCCGCGCTGACCGCGCGGGACCCCCCCCTGCGCAGAGCAGAGCCTAGCACCCCAGGCCCCGCATCCCCATCCCTCTGGGTCGCTCTTGTTTCCTTTGATGGTTCTCTGGCCACTACGGCTGGAGAATCCCCGCAGAACGTACGCCCACGCTGCCCCGGGCCCCGGGGTATGGGGACCCAAAGTTATCAACACCCGGAGGGTTTGCCAGAGTCCCCCGCCATGGGTGATGTGGCCACGGGCCAGGCAGGTTTTCCCTCTGAGCAACCACGGGAAACCCTGACTTGGTTTTCTCTTTTCCCCTCATTTCTGTGTCTGTGCCAGTTTCGATACAAGAAGCGGGTGTACAAGCAGTCCAACCTGGACGAGAAGCAGATGGCCAAGCTGCACACGAAGGTGAGTGCGGCGTGGCTGTGTCCTGTCGGCGTCCGTCTGCACCGTCCTCCTCAGGCCGGGGAGCTCTCGGCAGAGGGCTCTTCATCCTGGGGGTTGTGCAGGCCGATGGGGCGTCTGCGGCCGCCGGGGCCCCATTAGACACAGCCGCCCTCTCCTCCTGCGTGATGGAGACGCGTCCGATGCTTGCGCGTAGCTGAAATCACATCACTTAACTCAGTGAACCGCTGCTTGCCTCCTCCTGGGCGTGTCCCGGAGTGGGGCTGGTGGTTCCCTCTGAGCCGCTGCCGAGTCGGTCCTGCTGCCGCCCTTCTCGCAGCGAAAGGGCTGCTGGCACAGGCTGCGTGGAGGTGAGGCGCACGGGGGCGGCCGCGGAGGAGGAGCGTGTTAAGAAGAGAGCCAGGGGCTGTATCCTGGGGGGTGCTCCATTCCTGGCTGGACACACCGTGCGCGGGCGCGCAGTGGCGGGGCCGGCACGCCGTGGACACTCCCGCAGTTTGTCGGGGATGCCGTTTGTGTCCAGGGCGTGCTGCCACCCGGGTGTGCGTGGGCGCCTCGCTCAGTGCCGAGGAGGGTGTGTGACACCCGAGGATGCTCGCAGACACCCTCCTCCTGGGCCTGCCCCTCCCGCAGAGCCCGGAGCACTCGCTGCGGAGCCCGAGGAGAGCCAGGACGCTGCCTGGACGCCCACAGAGGCTATTCCCAGTTTTTGGGGTCCCCTTGGTGTAGTGTCGTCCCCCCATTTGTATCAGGACGATTGTCTGGACTTCACTGCGTTCAGTGGGTTGTCACATGCCATTGTCATTACTGACTTTTGTGCTCAAATCGTCCAGACGTGGCCGGTGGCACCGTGTGCCCGGCCCTCCACCCTTTGGTGTGTCCCCAGCATCCTCTGAGCGCTGATGACTTTCCGGCCCCACAAGATGGTCCGGCTTCTCCTGCGCTTCCCACTCAGCCCTGTGATCCACCCGGACGGTGGTGTTTAGATTCTGAAGTCTGGGCACGTCTGGTTTTTTGATTTACCTTCTGAGCTGTAGATAAAAATGTGTTTGTGCTTTTTTAAAAAAATTATAATTTACAAATTAGAATGAGGGTGTTAAGTGAAACCAAGTGTATCTTGTGTCTTCCGGCATTTAATTTTGAGTCAGAGTGTACAGAAAGTGTTCGGGTGAACATACAGCCGTGTCAGCGGGCCGACGGGTCCAGGGGCTTCAGGGTGCTTGGGGAGAGGTGCGGGGAGGGGGCGGAGAGCTGGGCTGGTGAGAAGCGTTAGAGTCGTGGGCGGAGCGCTGCAGACACCGCGACTGGGGCCCGGAGGCCCGGCTGCCGGACACGCAGCACAGCTTTGACTCCCTTGCGGACGAGGCTGGGCAGCCCCGTCACCGTGGAGCCACCACTCACTGACCTGACGAGGGGTGAATGTCTTCCTGCGCCTTGAGCTGCTTGGTGACCGAGTGTCCCTGTTTCTGCTGCGTGGTCATGGGGTCTCCCAAAAGCGGATTAAGCTGAGCGCGCGGTGCCCTATTTGCCCTCCATCGAGGCTGCCGCTTTGGATATTAGGAACCATGAATGCCCGTCCTTGGGCCCTGCTCCCGGGGTGGAGTCAGAAGGCCTGGGGCGCATTTTCAGAGCAGTTGGGTAGCTCATCCGTTTGAAAGGAAGGAGCGTCCTGTGGCCCCGGCACGGACTGGGTGGGTGGGGGGGTCCTAGAACAATGACCAGGACAGACCGATGGCGTTTCCACCCACTGGACCCCCGGCTTGGACCTGGGGTTCCAGACACGGAAGGATGCTGCCTGGCCAGCCTGAGGTCGAGAGGCCGCCCCATTGTGAAGGCCAGAGAGCGCCCCGTGGGGAGCCTTCCCGTGGCCTCTGAAGACCTACCTTTTCTTGGTAAAGACGTTGCTGGTTTTTCACCTTTTAGACCAATCTGAAAAAGTGCATGGATCACGTTCAGCACCGGTCGGTGGAGAAGGTCGTCAAGATGCTGGAACGCGGCCTGGACCCGAACTTCCACGACCTGGAGAGTGGAGGTAGGTGGGGCCGGGCGGAAAGACAGCAGGAGACCCCCGGAGGCAGAAGCGCAGGCTCAGTGAGGAGGGGTGACGCTGTGTTCAGATGATCGGGCGTCGCAGCGGCCTGCTTTGCTCGGTTTGCAAAAGTGCTGTCTCCCTCCTCCGGGAGCCTGTGTTTGCCCCCTGGAATCCAGCTGCTGGCACATAGTAGGTGCTCGGTCCGTGTCTGCTGAATGAATGAATGACCTCACGGAGGAGCTGACGCAGGCCGGCCCTGGGAGTCAGGCACACACACACACAGACACTCAGACACACACACAGAGACACAAACAGACACACATACACACGCACAAACACAAAGACACAGACAGCCACACAGACACGCACACAGCAAGACACTCACAACTCCCTCTGCTGGACACGAAGTCCCTGTGCAGCGTCTCAGTCCCCGTGCTGCTGGCATCGGGGCTGGACCGCCCTTTCTATTTTTCACTAGTTTCAAATGAGCACTTTTATTGAGTCTTAGCTTTTCTCTTTTTTATCCCAGTTTCATTGAAATACAGTTGACACAAAGCATTGTATTAGTTTTAGTGTGCAGCATAGCAGTTTGGCATGTGGATATACTGGGAAACGATCACTACAAGTTAGTTAACATCGATCACCATGGTTACCACAGTTACACATTTTTTTTTTCTTGTGCTGACAGCTTTTAGGATCTCCTCTCTTAGCAGCTTTTCAATTATACAGCACAGTTTTACTGACCGTGGTCACTGTGCTGTGCACGACAGCCCCAGGACTGATTTATCTAATCACTGGAAGTTTCTACCTTTGGAGCTCCCTCATCCATTTCGCCTATCTCTACCTCCTGCCTCTGGCAACCAGCATTCTGTGCTCTGTTTATGGTTAGTTTTTTAGATTCTACATATAAGTGAGATCCTATGGTCTTTATCTTTCTGTGTCAGACTTATTTCATGGAACATCATACCCTCAGGGTGCACTCGTGTTCTTGCAGATGGCAGAATTTCCTTCTTTTTCATGGCTGCATAATATTCCGTCAGGGCCAGACAGTTTGTTATGGCGGGGGCTGTCCTGTACATTGTAGGATGTTTACAGCATTCTTGATCTTCACCCACAAATGCCCGTAGCACCTCCCAGTGATGGCAACCAAAGATGTCTCCAGACATTTGCACAATGTCTCCTTGGGGTGGAAGCCCTGTGCCAATGGGACACATGAACCTGACCAGCTGAGGAGAGGGGAGGCTGTGGCGAGAGCCCAGAGTGGCTCAGGTGCGAGCCTCCATGGCAGCTTGGAGGTTCACCCGGGCAGGCAGGTGATTCTGGGCTAGAGGGGCCTCCTCTTGGACCAGCATGCGGGGCCCCCTCCCCTCTCCTCCTGGGCTGGGGGAGCCCACCTTACGGTCGCTGAACCCGCAGCACAGGCAGCTGTCAGCTGGAGAGCGACGCTTCTTCGCCGTGTGTGGGGACTCTTCCGCCCCTTAAGCTGGTGGAGCCGCCCCGTGCTCGCTCGGCCGCGCGCTGCCCTGTCCGAGCCCGGGTTGCTGTTCCCTGATCGCCGTCAGCTCCTCTGTGCCCTGAGTCTAACTGTAGGTGATGTGGGGCAGAGCTGCGGGCGTTTCAGTGACGGAGCTTTGATGCCTGTGGTGCGGGGACTGGACAGCACGGGTGTGGGCTTGGCAGGGGACGCGGGAGAACACAGCTGGCGGGGACGTGTGCAGAGGCCTGGCTGCAGGTGAGCAGGGCCTCAGCCTAGGCGGACAGTTGAGAAGACGGGGAAGCCAGGGGTCTGTGTGCAGGGGGACGTGGACAAGCTGGGGCCTCAGGCATCCGGGTCAGGTGGCGTGGGGCACAAGAGCTCCTGTGGGTGGGGACCTCGGGAGGACGGAGCCGTGCTGTACCTGCAGGGGGCCTGACCCTCCAGGGTCAGGAGTCAGGGGGCGAGGCCCCCTGGCCGGGGAGGCCCCTGCGGAGAGTCTGGACGGGGAGTGGGTAGCTGCAGGGTTTGATGTGCGTCTGCGGAGAGGCAGGTGTGGGGCAGGCACAGGGGTGGACATGCAGTCGGACGGCGGGTCTGAGCACCTGGGCGGGTGGGCACACAGTGAGCATGGTTCTGGCCCTGTGCTGAGTGGTCTCTTGTGCCTGGGCGCCCGGGCTGGCTCCCAGCCTTCCTGAGGGGCACTTCCTGTGCATCACTGCGACGTAGCTCGCGGCACTCAGGCTGGGACCACACAGCGTCTGTGGATTCCTGAGCGTGAACCTGAGCCTTCAGGGACAGTCGCAGACGTCAGCCAGGCCTGGGGTCTGTGGTCCCTGACCTGGGCTCTCGCCTTGGGCTGCCTTTGGCCTGGGCTCCTGCCGGCCTGGCCTCGTCGACGGCTGTTTTCCGATGATGCCCTCAGGCTGGGCACGACTGCCCTTAGCGGGCTCCTTCCCGCCAGTTACCAGGCCTCCTTTGCTGGGGGTGATGTTTTCTGGAGCCCAGGAGCAGGGAAAGACTTTTAATCTAGAGCAGACCCTAACTTAGCTTCGCAAACCCAGCAGCACGGACCCCAGGTTATTTCACAGCGGAGGTCTGCGGCCACTGCCCTTGGTCCCGCCTGGAGCTGGAAACCGCTGACCTTGTGACGATGGACAGAGTCGGTGGGGGCAGTTACAGCAGAGCAGCGGGACTGAGGAATGATAAAGACAGGAGCAGGGCCTTGTCCACTGCCCCTAGGTCTCGGGTAGACTCGACCCGGGAGCGCCACCCGCGGAGACGGCGGCCTGGGTTAAATGAACGCCGGTATTTCCCGAACTCCCCCCAGGACTTCGGCCTCCGGGCTAATTGATCAGGAAGAACAGAGTCTAAGAAAAGATGCAGAAGCCGGTTTCCCCTCAGACCCGCGTCCGCGGCTCCACGCAGAGCGCGGAGTCAGGGGCTGGCGCTCCAGCGAGGCTGAGACCGGGCTCTGACCGGAGACGCGGCCCCGTCGGGCTGGGGACCTGGAGCAGCGCGGACGGCTCTTCCTACAGGACGTGCCCGGATCTCAGCCAGTGATCAGCAGCAATCAAGCAGAGGGTTTTGGTTGGGTTTTTTTTTAATCTGGGAAGACAAATTAGAAATCGTTTTTATCTTCAACTTCACCATTTAAAGCAGACGCGCCGGGCCGCTCTCGCGCAGTGGGCGCCGATCGGCAGCTCCCTGCGTCACGCTCACTTCTCGCGGCTCGTCTCCTTTGTAAGGCAAGCCTTGTCTACGCTCCACTCACGCTGCTTTTTGACGTTAGTAGAGTTCGTTGTTTAGAGCCGTTTGAGGTGCAGGGAAAATCGAGTAGAGACAAGAGGCAGGAAGGTCCCCTGTAAGCACCCAGCCCCGCAGCCGCCCGCTGCCGACGTCCCGCGTGGGTGTGGCGCGTGGTGACGCCGATGCGTCAGCACTGGCGCTTCATTATTAACTGAAGCCCACGGTGGGCGTCGGGGTTCCCGCTGAACCGTCTGGGTTTAGACAAGCGTGTGAGGACTCGTGTCCGCCAGTGCAGTGTCAGGCAGAGGGTTTCTCTGCCCTAAAAATCCCCCGTGCTCGGCCTGTAAAGCTCCCCCCCCCAACCCTGGCAGCCACTGACCTCTTCATGGTCTCCGTGGTTTTACCTTTTCCAGAATGCCATGTGGCTGGAATCCTGTAGCCGGTGGCTTTTCAGGCTGGCTTCTTTCCCTCAGTCACATGCGTTTAGTCTTTTCGTGGCGTGACAGCTCATTTCTTTTTGGTGCTAAATAACATTCCACCATCAGGATGGACCACCATTTATTTATCCGTCCACCCACCAAAGGGCATCTTTGGTGGCTTCCAAGTTTTGGCGACTCTGAGTAAAGCTGTTAGAAACACCCGTGTGCAGGCTTCTGTGTGGACAGAATTGACAGTGATTAAATGTAGTGGGTTTTTTTCCCCTCAGACAGAAAAGAAGTATGTACAGCAAGCAGAAGAGTAAAGGATGTAGCGAAGACAGAAAGTTCTGGCCCAGAGTCCAAGCAGGGGCCCGAGATCCTGCTGCAGGGGCCACCCTGTCTCGGCGTCCCTGCTCCACACCCCGCGTCTGGGGAGTGTTCACTCGTCTTCTCACCTGGGGGGAGAAGCAGAGTGTTCCGGATGCGGGGGCAGGGAAGACGGGGGACCGGGGTGCCGAGCGACATGAGGAAGGCGAGCGATGGAGACAGACCAAGTCGCGGGCAGTTCCCAGGACAGTGGCGTCAAGCGGCCCCACCACATCCGGAGAGGATGCTGAGAGAGGATGGACGTGCGCTCTGCTGAGAGGCCGGCGCTTCATCAGAAGGAAAGACACACCTTTGCAGTCCGCTCTGTCCCCTCCACACAGTGACAGTACCCGCAGGGTGGGGACATTTGGGCACGAGGGGAGTAGCACATGTTGAGGGTTCCCCATGCGGAGCAAGTTGCCCGCAGTAGGGTGTCCAGAATGTTCCTGCTGTATCAGTGGCACAATGGGAACGCAGCCCGGGGTTGTGGACCCAGGGAGGAAGATGGGGTTGCTGTGGTGGCTGCCTCCAGGCAGTAGGTGGTGTGCCCAGTTTGCCTCAGCTTTCCCAGGACGGCCCTGGTTTTCACACTGAAATCCACGTCTGGGAAACCCTTTGGTTCCAGACACACTGGTGCCCTAGGTCAGGCGCCGGGCCCTTAATGATGACAGCTGAGGTTAGACGAGAGCCCGATGGCGTGTGCAGGACATGGAGGCCTGTCTCCCCCGCCCCCACCGCGTGCTCCCACGAAGCAGCCGCCTGTGAGGCCAGCACCCCTGGAGGAGGCGAGGCCCTGCGAGTGGAGGTGGGACCCCAGGTCACCACAGGGAGGAGGCAGAGTCCACGCTCTCACCCCGGGAGGAAGGGCGGTGGGGCCGGCGGTGGGCTCGCTGCTCTCGGGCTGCGCCTGGTGGCCATGGCCGGTGCAGAGGGCCCAGGGCTGGAGGGCCTGCGGTGGCCGACGTGGGATGGCATCTCCTGCCGCAGCTCAG